GACCTCAGGGGGATGGAGTAGAGCACGTGTCGGGGGAACGTGGGGTGACAGGGAGCCTGGGGACCCCAAAGGGGAGAGGGATGGTGGGCAGGGGGTGATGGAGACTCACTGGGGACTCTGGGGACAGTGGGGTGATGAGGACATGGGCAGTGAGGGCCCCGGAGTGATGGGGACCCTGAGGCATGAAGGGATGTTTGGGCAGCCTGGGGTGACCATGAGCCCAGGGCAGGGAGGGATGCTGGGGGGGCTGATGTGGACCTGAGACACCTGGGCAGGGGGAACAGGGAGTGATGGGGACCCTGGGGTGACAGGGACCCCAGCAGTGGGTGATGGGGACCCTGGGGTGATGAGGATGGATCCTGGAGAGGTGACAGGGACCCCTTTTTTTTTTGGTGGCAGGGGGTGTGACAGTCACCCAGGGTGATGAGGATCACTGGGGACACTGGTGTGAGGACTCAGGGGTGCCAGTCCCACCCCTTCCATGTGCCATGCAGGGCAAGGTGCAGATGTGGGTGGACATCTTCCCCCTCAGCCTTGGGCCCCCTGGGCCCCAGGTCAACATCAACCCTCGCAAGGCCAAGGGGTGAGTGAGTGGCCAAGCAAGCTCTGGGGGTGGGACAGGGCCATCCTAGGGCAGGAGGTGACACTTCCTTGCCCCCCCTCGAGGTATGAGCTTCGCTGTGTGGTCTGGAATGTGAGGGACGTGGATCTGGCAGACATCAACTTGTTTGGGCAGCGGATGAGTGACATCTACATTTCTGGGTGAGCCTGGGGAGGTGCCAGCAGGGCTGGGGACAGGGTGGCAGCAGTGTCTACTCACTCTGGGTGGCACACAGGTGGCTGGATGGGCTGCAGGAGCAGAGGCAGCAGACAGACATCCACTATCGCTCGCTGGATGGCAACGGAGCCTTCAACTGGCGCTTTGTCTTCCCCTTCGAGTACCTGGCAGCAGAGAGGCTCTGTGTCATCAGCCGCAAGGTGAGGGGTACCCCGAGGCTGGGCAGGGGGTGCTGGGGTGAGTGGGACACAGGGGACAGGCACAACACCCCTTTTTCCCCTCCCCACCACGGCAGGAGCATATCTGGAGCATAGATGAGACAGTGCTGAAGGTGCCACCCAAACTCATCCTTCAAGTCTGGGACAATGACAAGTTCAAAGCAGATGATCTTCTGGGTGAGACCCCATTTCCCTGCCTTGTGTCCCCTCCCAGCAGGGTGGGGGATACCCACAGGCTACAGGGAGTACCCACAAGTGATGAGGAGCACCCAGTGGTGATGAGGAACTCTCCTCTCCTCGGCTTTTCCCTGCAGGTGTCCTGGAGCTGGAGCTGACCAAGCTGCGCCATCCAGCCCACATCCCCAGGCTGTGCAGGGCCACCCCCGAGGAGCCCCTCCAGGGCTGCTGGCCCTGGTGCAGGGTCCCAGCCCCAGCCCTCCCCCCTCTCAACCTGTTCCGCAGGAGGCAGGTGCGGGGCTGGTGGCCCTGCACCATGCAGGAGGATGGCAGCCAGCGGCTCTCGGTGCGTGGGGGAGATCAGGGTGTCAGGTACAGCAATGATGGGGATGGCAGGGACAGACTCTACACCCCAACTGCCCCATGGTCCCTCCAGGGGAAGGTGGAGCTGAGCCTGGAGCTGTTGACTGCACAGGAGGCAGAAGAGAGACCGGCGGGGAAGGGTCGTGAGGAACCCAACAAATACCCAAGGCTGCTGCCACCTAAGTGAGTGCCTGGGGAGAGTGGGGAGGGACTGACAGGGGACAGTGTGTCTGAGCTCTGTGTCACCCCCAGGCGCCCGAAGACATCGTTCCTGTGGCTGCAGTCCCCAATCCACGCCCTGCGCTACGGCTTTCGCTGGCGCTACTGGGCCTGCATCTGCCTGGGGCTGGTAGTGCTGATCCTCTTCCTGCTCCTCAGCCATCCCTTTTCGGTGAGCACAGCGGGCAGGGACCCTCCACTCCTCCCTCCCTGGCTGTGAGCACGCCCTGAGCTCCCCTCCCTCTCTCCTCGCAGGGTTCTCTGACTATTAAGATACCGCAAAACCTCTATCCTTCCCACACGGAGCATCCCAGCACGGTGTATCCCCCAGACAAGGGGACAATGCAACCCTGAGCTGCATCCACAGGGAGTACCAGGGGCACAGACCCCCTGGCTAACCCCTTCCCTGCCTGCCAACCCTGCCCTGAGCTCCTCTCTCTCTCTTTCTCTTTGCTGGAGGATGTGGCCATGAAGCTGATCAACCTGCTCCAGAGCCTCATCCCAATGGTGCTGAGCATTCCAATGGTGCTGAGCATCCAGGGAGCACCAAGGAAACTGCTTGGCCACACCTCAGCATTAACAAAGCCATATCCAGCCACAACCAAAGCACTGTCCTCAGCTCTGAGGGGTGAGGAGGGACACCAACATGCCTGGGTAGTGCTGTGGCCAACAAGGGAAGATAGATCAATGTCACTTACCTAAACTGCTGTAAGGCCTTGGGCACAATCCCACTTGGCAAGCTCATCTCCCAGTGGGCTGGAAGAGTGGACAAGGAATGGGCTGGATGGGCACAGCCAGAGTTGTGGTCAAGGGCTCTGCGTCCAGTTGGAGAGAGGTGACAGGGGATGGCCTGGGCAGCACATAAGGAGGGAATTCTGCCCAGGTGTGAACCATTCCAGGGAGCCCCATGGCACCAGGACACAGCCCTCAACTCCCTCTGGCCCTCAGAGGAATCATTTTGGGGAAGAAATGCTACATCCAGAGGCCTCAGCAGTGACAAGGACCACAGCCATGTCACACACACACACACATCCCAGTGTTTATTCCCAGACACCAGTTACAGCTCCAGGGAGAGGCACACACGATTTGATCCTGCTGATCAGGCAAAAAAAAAAAAAAGGCAAAACACCAGAAAAACTCTTCTTCCACACCACACCCTCCATGGGCACTTGGAAAGCAGCTCCTACCTACCCCTGGGACAGTGTCCTGCTGGAACATCCCCAGCCACGTGTGCCCTCCCCTGGCCCAGGTACCACCACAATCCCCATGGGGATCCATCCTGGAATGCCATGGGCACTGATCCAGCTCCCCCAGGACTGCCTCGAGGAGGGCACTGCCATCTCCATGTCCCCAGAGCCACTGAGTCACCAGGGCACAAACTGACCTAGCATCTCCTTCTCCTGGGACCAGTGGTGGCCGGAGAAGTCACTGCCCAAAGCAGTCACTGAGGTAGGACTAACCTCGACTCCCAGCGAGGCAATGAGAGCTCTGGCTGCCAGGGAATCGCCCCCGGAGCCTTAGCTCCTCCTCCTCCTCCTCCTCGGATCCCGGGATGCAGCGAGCACCGAGGGGGAAGTGCTGCCCGAAGCCACGACACGACATGCAAACAGCCCCGGGGCGACAGCATGCTCGGCCAGGGGACACTGGCAGCAAAGGTGGGGAGCAGTGTCCCCCCAAAGCGGGGAGGGGGTGCAGCCAGGGGCTCCCCAGGGCAGGGACAGGCAGCCAAGCAGCTTCCCAGCCATCCTGCCTCATCTCTGGGGAGATCCATCAGCATCCAGCCCCGGAACACCAAACCTCAGCACCCAGAGGGCTGGCACGGCAGGTTCCAAGGGCAGGGCAAAGCAAGCTGGTGTCCACAGCCAGGCGATGGGGAGCAGCTGGAGAGGGATGAAGAGCTTGGAAAAGTCTCTCCTGGCACTGA